CAAGTTCATTGAATACAAATTCATGATCTGGATTAATTTTTAAAGTTTCGTTTAAATCTGTAAATGATTTTTCAAAATTTTTGAGTTTTCTATAAACAGAACCATGACTTGTTGATGCAAATACGTAATTCGGATCATTTCCAGCACTTTATTTAGATCTGTAAGCGATTCATAAAATTTATCAACTAGTCCATAAATAAATCTATGATAAGTCAATGCAAACACATTATCTAGATGATGAGATAAAATATATAAATGATTTCTCCATCTTGAATCTTGTTTTTCATTTTTATTCAGTGAATTGCAGATTCTTTATATTCAAAACTAAAATTAATTAATTTGAATTTAGTAGCATGGATAATTATTTAAAATTCATTGTATTATCAAGAATATAAAAAAAACTTATATTCTGTGCAATTCTACAGATCTGTATCAAAAGATGATAAGTTATTTCGATATGTGAATTCTATTGAAATTAAAACACAAAGCTAGATTATCCATTCACTAATCTGATATTTAATGTTGACATTTTCCAAATTTTAAGATCAAAGTCAGATAGTATAAATTAATTATAGATAAAATTTTTTAAGATTTGGGATAGAGAAATTTCAAGCTCTTACAACAATTATTTCCCATTTATAGAAATTTTTGGTTTTTTTTGTGGACTTTATTCAAACATATTATTTACACGGTCTTCAATCTCATTGATCTTGTCATTATTCACTAAATCTAATATAACATGTAGATTTAATAAATTATTCTGAATCTATAGGAATATTTTTTAAGCATCAATTTATATGCATCAACAAAACAATTAATCCTAGGCACAATATGAAATTTCACCTGTCTTGTGATAAATTTGATATCGGCATAGCCTTTCCACGTGATCTTTTGCAGAAGCTAAATGATTGCGCAGCATGCATGTCAATTAGGGTAAGCTGACTTTGATTTTCTGTTAAAGCAAACTGAATATATTCTAATATAGTTAGTGGCATTTGAACTACTATACAGTGGGAGATTAATTAATAAGTCATGTATTCAGTAAATTAGTAAAAGTTAATAATTATACACTTACCATTACTGACAGGCTTTCCAAAATCAGCACAAAAATAAACATATGCCGAGATGCTAGCTGATTTCTTATCATCATTATTTAATAAGTTGTTATTATCATCAGAACCAATGTTCTGAACAAATGCTACAACATAAGACCCATCTGGCATGCAAACTATCTTTTCAGCACTTTTTGAAAAGTTGGCAGTACTAGGTAAAAACTCTTTTGCAACCAAATTATAAATTTTTACTTGATCATTAGTGTTTACAAAACAAATTTCCTCTTTATCTTTGATAAAAAACAGCCTTTTGATATCAGATACTTGACTATACAATATATTATTGTCCAGCCATGTTATTGCCAACTGCACTAAAAATTCACATATTTGTATAGTTTCCGTCATTACTGTTTTTACGTTTTTTTTTTTATGGCTTAAATTTTAACAACGTCTCATATTACTAAAAAGGGGAATGTAAAAAAAAAGTTTAAATTGATGACATAAACTATACAAACGAAAAAGTAGTAGTTAGTCATCAATAACTACTTTGCAATAATAAAATATTCACGTGGGTGTTAAACAGTGACAGATGATTAGCGCAAATTATCTGTCGCTGTTTAACGCCCACGTGAATATTTTTAAAACCCTATCCCTATCCAATAACGATAAATTAATTTGAATGTCATAGACCTGATGGAATTTTTGGCCTTCTTTAACATAAATATTTAACTATTAAAAATATAAATTAATTTGGATATTCTAAAATAATTAGCTAATTAAATTTAATAGGCTCATTTATAATTATAATGCATTCTTTTTTAGGTTTGAAGGTTTCATAATGAGCGCTCTCTAGGAGACTAGGATAATTCAAAGTATCATAATAAATTTCGAGACGACTTTTGTTAATATTCTATAAGGCAACATTATTTTTGTTTCTGAACAAATCTGGTATTTTTTTTAAATAAAGCATAGTTTAGTTCATTGTACTTCATAATGATTCGTATCATATATATAATTTACTTTAATTCGTGAACTTGTGAATGAATTTAAAAGAAAACCAATTATTTCTTGCTATCTGGCATGATCTGACGAATACACAGTTATTGGCAGGATGATAACAAAGCACATGGCCTTCAGCTACGTGCATTGTTATTATTCTGTTAATGACTGTATTCGTCACCATCATGCCAGATAGCACTTCTGAAATTTGTGCCAGGTTATAATGATCTACAAATCAGATTTCGAGGATCAGGTGTAATGTAGCACAATCAAAACAAACGTTCATTTTGTCAAAATCCTTTTTTCTCAAAAACCTGCATAAAAAACCACCTTTAGTGCTCTAACAAAAAGTTTTTCTTGCGCGATTTTACTATACACCTACTTAGTTTTAACTTTATACGAAACACTCTAACCCTAATATTAATGAGCTTAAAATATTTAAAAAATTTTACATGATGATTGGCAACATGCATAACCTGGCACAGATTTCAGAAATGCTGCCGGATAACTAGTTTATTCGGCAGGTATGATGTATATACTTACGGAAAAAATTGATATTATGCCGCAAGTTTTATATTAAAATGATTTTAATATTAACCTGCGGCAATAATGTGAAATTTTTTCCGTCAGTATTTACATAGTACCTGCTGAATAAAACTTATTATCTGTATCAATTTTGATCAAAATTTGTAACATAGATTCTGTATTTCAATTGAATTATCGCTAAATTGCAAATTAGATATGCTATATATTTGTAAAGAAAAAATTGTTATTAATTATCTCATTATTTGAGTCATAATATAAATCAAATATTTAATATTATCATCAATATCTAGAATTTCAAATTTAAGACTTTGAAAATGTGATAATTAATTTAATAACAATTATATTTTATTGAAAAAATATAACAGTGATATTAAAAATTACACATTAAAATATTTTTTCAAATTCTTCGCAGGTTCAAGAAACCTCACGATCTTCAATTTGATTTCTATCACTGTCATCCTTTTTCATCTTCATTCTTTTCGCCTAAAGGCAATTCTATTTCAAAAAGTGATTTATTCAAAGAAGATATAAGTATATTTTCTAAATTCGGAAACCAAGCTTGATAAGTTTTTTTTAAATAATCTACAAGTATTTCGTAATCTATACTAAGTGTGCATTCTTCAATTATTTTATGAAGTTCTAAATCGATCTTTAGACATTATTCTTTAGTTTATAATTCTTTTTCTTCATAACAAAAGCTTGATGAATAGATAGATCAAAGACTAGAATATTTTAAAATACTCAATTATATAGATTTATGAAATAATTTGTCTCTTCATAAAGAACATACCAGATGATTTCACAAAGCAAATAGATCAGTTATTTGTTTAATTTCATCAGGTAATGAGATCTTTATAAAAACATATAATGCAACCTTATATCTAGGACAAATTTTGAAATATTCTTCTAAATCTTCTTTATCTGAATTTGCGTCTTTAATGCATCAACTAAACCTCTCTAAATCACTTTTGCTTGTTAAACAAATTTGATGATCTGAGAGTTTAGTAAGATGTCTATAAAAATAATGATACAAATGATAAGTTATATAATTAAATTAAAAAGTACTTTGCTTAAATATAATTTTTACACCTTATACCATATTACAGAACTTAAATTTTTATTTATATATACATTGCTCTAAATCAGAATTTATTTCAATCCAATCGCATAATAATTTGTGACTAATTAGCTTTACCAAGATCATGGAATATCAATAATAAGTATAACTTGTTAAGAGTAGATTCAGATAGACTTATAGTGGATTACATCGGTATGATTATTACTCTTCAAACATTCAATTCATCAAATAAAATAGCACCATAAAATAATAAATTGCTTAAAGTTTATACAAATTATTAACTTATTAATATCTTTCCCAAAAGATCAGAAATATTCTATCATAATATGAACAAACAATTTAATTCTTTCACAATGCGAATATTTTACTTTGAGATTATAGTAATTAAAGGAGAAAACTGAGTAAGATATCACATCACATCACTATAATTTTTATATTATTAATCGTTAAAACTCTTTATTCTATATTTTGAAAAAGAAATTGGAATTGGACTTTGTAAAAGAACTTTTAATCTAGATTCTATGCATAGTAATTTAAAACTTTATATTATCAAATTTTATACTGTAACTATGCAATATTACTCATTTTTACTTAATTTACAATAGGATTAAGTGATGGTTAATACAGTTATCATGGCGACAGAAAATTTTATGACAGTTCAGGATCGAAAAGTAAATCCTATAGCCAAAGATTTCTGCAGGTGATAATATTGGATGTGTTTAAACTTCAAAAACAATAAATGATTCTTCACTAAAAATGGTGTACATCAAGATGATTTTGTTTAATTCTTTAGATATAATATTTTGCAAATTTAACATAAGTTTATTACTTTAAAATTTTCACGGAATTGCTTTAAGAGATCTAAAAGGCATTCTGTATCCATGTGTTAAAGGAAATCATTAGACACGTCTGTAAAGACAAACTTTGGCCATACTAGATTTAAATACACAGGTAACATAAAAAAAAGATTATAGAAATATAATAAACACCTTTAATGAAATTAAATTTATAATGCTTGTTTTATAATTTATGATACTAACCATGGCTTTAAATGAAATGAGTACTATTCAGTTTCAAATTAAAATGAGTTATTAGAAGAATATTTGTTCATTAAAAAAAAAGTTAGTTATTAAAAGAGAAGTTGACAGAGATTAAATCGCAATTGGCTGAATTTCAACAAACAAGCCAATATTAAGTCGATGATGAAGTTAAATTGATTGATCCTCAAAATGAATTGGCACATACCAAGAAAAAAAATTGAACAATTGGAGAAAGGGCTTAATATATAAAAAAGAAATCAAACAATAAAAGTAATACATATAAAAATGAAAGAACATTATGTCAAAATTGCATTAATAGGGTGAGAGATTAAAGAATTAGGAGAGAAACTGGATGGCTTAAAAAATCAGAAAGACAATGGATTGATAAAAGAATTCAAATGAATATGCCAAAACTCAAGGAACTTTTGAATAGTAAGCAAACAAATAAAAAAAGAATTAGAAACTTGTCTAGAATCTCTGAAAATTAATTCAGATGACATAGAAAGTAGGTAATATTGAAGAAACAGATAAGATAAGCAATCTTTCTAAAAATGTAACTTTATAGAAGAAATTTTGAAATTTTATAAGGATAAATACCAGAAGAATCACAAGAATAAAAATATAATTTTACGACATCTAGTAAATTTACGTGGAAATAGTAAATTTCTCTGAAAAAAAGATGAGAGCAATAGAAAAATAGATAAATTTTGTGCAGTGATTAAAGCACGAAGAAAAATTATGTATGAATTTAGAACAAGATCTTTAGAGAATGAATTAAATAAAAAGCTACAAGAGATATTAAAATTTGAAAAAAGGAAAACAAAGTCAAAATTGATGAGATAAAAAATTGAACCTAGATAATGAGAAGAATCATTAGAGGAATTAATAAACAATGTCAAACCGAAAAATTATGTCGAATTTCATAAATTAGGCATTAATTTTTTAAGAACTCAAGTATATATCAATAATTTAAAGGATCAGTGAAGATAAGATAAATGCAATTCGTCAAGGAATAAAAACATTAGTGAATTTGAGGCCAAATTAAAAGAATTGCAAAATGAATTAGAAATTTTAGAAGTTAGTTCTAAAGAAGCAGAATCAATTACGCAAGTAAATAAATTTTTTAGATCAAAGAAGGAATACATAAGCATTCAAAAAGAACTTCCAAAAAGTTTAAATAAAGATTACAAAAAAACTAACTATGCATGAAGTAAAGCATTCAAAGAGACAATTGATGATTAAGGCCATAACAATATATTAGGAACCTTTGATTAGGCTAAGATAAAGGCTTAAGTAAAGCAGTAGATGTGTTAATGATTGTCATAAAATAATTTTCAATGGCAGGCAAGGTGAAGACTCTAAAAGCACAGTGAAGAAAATGGAACTATATATCTTCATTTAAAGAAGCTTATAATTCCCTAATAGGAACAATCGAAAAAAATAAAGAGTTACTAATATTTACAATTCATCGTAATTTTGGATTCACAAAGTGTAATCGAAACATTATATACAATACTAATGCTAAATTAACTCATCACTTTTATTCAAGGATTTTTCAATAAAACTAAAGAATTCTTTAATAAAATGCTGGATATGATTGAATAGATTAGCTAAATTTTTTGGTGTATATCATTTTTACCAGATTGATTATGTAGTGAGATATCATTAATTAAATATTTTCATATCTTTAGATCATTTGTATTCAAATTTCTTTGGTCTTGATAAAAATAATTATTAAATAATTTAATTTCAGAATGCAAGATCTGGTGTAACATGTTAATCAAAACAACAATCACTTTTTTTTGTAAAGTCCATTTATCTCAAAAATTTGTCTAAGAAATCACCTTTGGTGTACTAACAACAAAATTCCTTGCAAAATTTTGATATAATGCCGCCAACTAACCCTAACGAAGATGTTACATTTTAAACAGAAGGTAACACGTAAATTAGTACAAATAATCCTAGCTAATAGGATGTTAGGGTAAATTAGTAAATCTGAATATGGACCTTAATGGTACTATTCGAAAGGGCATAGCATTTAGTTTGTATTGAAGAATACCCTGATTATTCGAAAAGTCATCTGTCTCTAATTTTTCAGGATTCTCATCCTTAATAGTATGATTTTTTAGAAATAAAGATATATTAATTTTTTTCTCAAGTATAGTTGTTTAAATAAGGTGAGATCATAGTATTTAAGCAAGAAAGAAATATTAATTGAATCAGTAAAGATTTTATGTTTCTAAATAAAGAATTCTATTGAAAATTCTTTAAATATGTTTCTCTTGACAACATGCAAGCAATTCAAGCAACCCAAGTTTCTCAATTACTTTCACTAGCACTACTTTCTGCACTTGAAAAGACTCTGCTAGAAATTCTAGAATTTTTTCAATACAGCAAAGAAAAATATGTAAGTCAAAATGGGATATAGCTGGCAGAGAAAGTTATCAGAGCAAAAACAATGTGCAGAAATCCAAAATGTTTTTGAAGAACTCCGTAGACAGCTCCTGATAGCTTATATTAAATGCAAGATAAGTAAAGCTGTTTTACTTCAGAAGGGTGAACATAATTTCTATATTTATATTTTGATACTGTACTACCTAATAATGAAAGTATTTTAGAGAATTCACAAATAATTATTGACTATTTTTTGTATAAAACTTCTCGCATATTAAGAATTAGTCATGGAAAGAGTCTTTTCTTCTTGATGAAATCAATCATCTGAGTCTATTTGAATGCAGAATTTGTAAAAGAAAAAAGGTAAAATATTATTTTGCTAACTAGAAAACATTATTAATATCTATTTAATTGATGTATTTAATTATTTTAATTCTTAATAGGATAAGTGCATTATACAGACAAAAACAAAGTCTTGATAAAATATATGTGATTGGATTATGAACAATTCACAGTATTAACCATTCTTAAAGATAACATTATATTTAATATTAACCCTCTCCTGAAATCTATAAGCTTGCATTTCATTTCTTCTGTACAGTCGTCCTCCTCTACAATCACCTCCTATATAGTCACACCCTCTTTATAAGCACCATTTTTTTTAAAAATTATTGGCAATTTATTTATTAAAAAAACTTTATATAATCACAATACTATTAAAATTTTATAATCGCATCATTTTTATGTAAAACAAACCACGTGATTAGAGAGGAGGATGACTGTAGTTAACCTATTTTACTAGAATATTGTCTATTGAATTATAAATGAATTATAAATAGAGTAAATTAGCGAAGTAAAGCTTTTAAATAAATTACCAAATTTCAATATATTTATAAATAGCATAGCGGGCTTTATTATGATTGGTTGATTTTGAAGATCATCTCATCATATTAAAGTCTTATTAAAGTAACGATT